CATTTATAACGTTTTCATACTGCAATATATGAAATATTAAATATTTTGGGTTTTTCAGTCCTAAAAGGCTTAACATTGTTGATGTCTTCTTTATATTGTAAGGGGTGGTTGATGTGAAAACATGATTTTGTATAAAAATAAAAAATTAATGTTTACCATATAAGTAATTGTTTCCTTATAGTTGAAAATATGTTGATAGGTCTTAATTGGTATATTCACATCACTTGAAGCTTTAATAATAGTTTACTGCACTTCAAAAGTTGATATTAGTTGTACCCAGTTGCACCTAGTTGCACAAACACGTCAACGTTAATAGTTGTACTCAGTTGAACTTGGTATTTATACGTGAAACCAGTTGAACTTGGTAGTTATACGTGAACCCAGTTGAACTTGGTAGTGCGAATGGCAACACGTAAACGTTAATAGTTGTACCCAGTTGAACCTGAAAGTGCGAATTTGACAAAATGAACTTCAGAATTGTTTATACGTGTACCTAGTTAAACCTGGTCAAACAAATTCACCAAACTCAAACACATAAAGATTCATAGTTGTACATAGTCTAACATGGTTGTTCAAAACCGAAAATTACAAAACACACACATAAATCAAACTGAGCTGCCACTTTGGCTGCTCTGAAAATAGAAAGTGAAACCTCTGCCAGACACAGACCTGTTACTTGTCTTCCTGCGACGTTCTCCAGTGGATGGAAAGCGGTTTTCTTGATTTCTTCCTGGTGTTTTGGTGTAATCAGGCGGTAAAGCAAACTTATTTAGTATTTCCTCTGGAATACTCCAACAAGACTCATTCGGCACTGGATAAATCGTCTTGTAGTATGCCAATGCCCACATATCAATCAAGTAATATCTAGAGCATAAGTCATATAGACTAATATCCGCTGTTCTCCCTCCCTTTTTCATCAGTGCTGCGGCTGCGGCGATTGCATGAACACAAGGATACTTGTCTATATCCAACCCTCTGCAAGAGCAAGTTTTGCTCGACAAATCCACCAAGTAAGCCTTCCCATCGAGTCCAATAACTGTGTATTCGAGTTGGAAGCTGTTTAGCTCAGCCACAGCTAAACGAGCAGCAATTGGACATAGTTCATGCAATTTGTTATCCACATAAGGCACCACTTTCTTTGACATCGGCATATCAGCAGCAGTCTTCCTATGCTTGTTAAACCAATATGCCATTTTCTCAACAATCGCATCAATCATTGGTAAGAGAGAGTACTTCCTTACTTCCTTAAACACACTGTTGAGAGATTCACAAGAATTGCTGGTGTCTAAATTGTACTTGTCTCCTTTAAAGTAGCACCTTGCCCACTTATCCAACGGTATAGTCTCATGCAAATACACAGCAGCTGCAGGAAACCTCTTCTTAAAATCAGCATACTCCCTTTCGAACTCACTCACAGTATAAATATGAGCGCATTGGATAAATTTTACCGCCACTAGATCTTTGTTCACCTTATGCTGAACTTTACCTCTCACGTTTTGAGACAAATGCCATATACAATGTCCATGCTGGGAGTGGGGATACACCTTCGCTACTGCATTTATGATGCTTTTATGTCTGTCACTCATAAAAACCAATTCAGGATCATCAGGTATAACGATTTTCAGCTTCTCGAAAAACCACATCCAGCTGTCATGCTTCTCAGTATCAATTACACCAAAAGCAATGGGGTAATGGTGATGATTAGGATCCTGAGCTGTGTCAAAGACAAGTTGTCCACCATATACAGTCTTCAGAAATATTGCATCCACAACTATCACTTTCCTCATTGCTTGAAACCCTTCAATGCTAGCGCCCAAAGCAATGAATAGGTACTTGAACTTTTTCTCTGCATCCAATTCCACACTTGTTACGGTTCCAGGATTTACCTTCTCCAGCATGTACAAATAAAAGTATAACATCCTATAACCTTCTTCAGGAGTGCCCCGCACATCACTAACAACTAGTTTTTTTCCTCTTAAGGTGGTAGAGTAGGACAAACTAACACCAGCTCTACTCTGAACCAGATTCACAATATTTTTGGGAACTGGGGTGTCAAATTGACCCGGATAGTCTTGCTGCAAAACAGATGCTACTAGCCGTGGGGTGTCTCTCCTTTTACTAGTGCTTGTACACTCAACGGCCCGAGAGCATGTATGCATCTTTCTGTATACTCTAACACTGAAATAATCCGATTTCTTAAACCTTGCAGCTCGTAAATACCATTTACAGCCTTGATTCTTCTGACGGCATTCTAGAATAAGTCGCCTTGTATCTGACTTATAAGTATGGACCCCAAAACAGTTCTTATGTGCAGCTCTGTCAACCAAATATTGCACTGCCTCCTTAGAACAAAATTCTTGACCAATTTCAAGATCTGTACCATCTTCCCATTCTTCAACACACTGACTAACTTCTGCAGAACCTGGAAGCTCAACATATTCATGCATACCATCGAAACCGTTCTCCATATCCCCATCAGTAAATTCATTACCATCGTTCTCTGTCACCTCCTCAATAATCGGCTCCCTATGTTCTTCTCTTTCCGAGACTGCTCTATAAATAGTAACCGCATTACAGACATCATCATCAGCTCTACCATTTGCAACCGGCTCCTCATAATTCACACCAAATGAACTACCCACTTTGGAAGCTTGCTCACTCCTACCCGCTTTAGAAACTGAATTTGTTTCTAAACCTTTGACTACCTCCACATGCAAAACAGATCATAGCCCCTCGTTATCCACCGTTGTTAGATAAGCATATACGTCATCATCAACGAAAATTTTTGTCTCGTTGATCGGTTTATTTACCAACGGAATGTAACTCAATTTCAGGTGTGCATTAGCTCTATCTATCCCAATCTTACTGCATATCTTATCTACTAACGCCGAGTAAGTTATCTCTTCCACAGATAAGTTCCTAAATGGTATAGCATAGGTGGAATTACTTGTAAACCATTTCAACTCCCTTCCGTCACGTGAATAAATCCCTCCATAGTCAAAATATATGTTTGTGTGGTTGGTGCTCATGCTCTCCTGAAAATACAATGAAAATAGTCGATCAGTTGAACTCAAATGAACAAAAAGTACCATAGTTATACCAGTTGAACTCAATTGAACTACATTGAACTCAGTTGTACCAGTTAAACTACACCTCTCATTTGTACCACGTGTACCAGTTGAACCCAATTTAACTCAGTTGTACCAGTGCAGCTATACCTCACGTACCAGTTATACTAGTTGAAATCAGTTGAACTAAAGTGAACTCAGTTGTACCAGTTGAACAACACCTTTCATTTGTACTAGTTGAACTCAATTGAACTAAATTGAACTCAGTTGAACTATAACTCTCATTTGTACCAGTTGAACTTAAGTTTTCAGTTGTTCCAGTTCGCTCTCAGTTGTACCAGTTGTACCATTTTTTCCTATCAAAATTCTGGGAATTTCGAGTTCGACTTTCTTTGTTCTGCATATGAATCTGATTAACATAACCACGTTCTTCTCACAAATTACCGAACCTATGGCTTAATCTATCCACAATACATTGTTACCAACCCAGATCCCTAATTTTTCAAATCTAAAGCCATAATTTTACACTCTAATTGAAATAGAAGAAATCACCTTCAAAATATGAGATCTTCAACAATGGCAGAAAGATGACTGGAATTCTGGGTCGGACGAAGTGGAGAAAGCGTCGATCTACGTTGGACAAAAAGGATGACGGAAGAAGAAGCTCAAGGAAGGAGCTTGGAAACCAGAAGAGAGCCCGGGTGAGAAGAGAGAGGAGGAGCTCGAGCTCAGCAAGGCTGCGAGGGATCGAGATTCAATTTTTTTTTTTTTTCAAATTTATTTTTATTTACTTTTACTTCTTTTACTTCTACTAAGAGCATCTCCAATCTACCTCTATTTTAGAGGAAAAAATAGAGTTTAGAGGAAAATTCTCTCCAATCCACCTCTATTTTTACCTCTAAAATAGAGGTTGCTATTTTTTCCTCTATATTTGGAGGAACTCTATTTGTTCCTCTATAATAGAGATGAATTTTTTTATTTATAAACTGGTCCCTTAACTTTTACATCTTTTTATTTTTATTTATATAACAAATATAAAAGTTAAATTAAATATTTACATAATCTAGTTTGTATATATCCAATAAATAGCTATATATCTAACATATAAATTTAATTAAACTATATAATGTTAAATAACTTTAATAAAGTTTAATAAAATCAACATTATTTTAGACAATAACTATTATAGAAAAACAGAAAATATTATTTACTTTAATTAACTATATAATTTATAAACAATAGTGATTAATCCACGATAAAAAAATGAACATGAATAGTAATATAGTATACATGAATAATAATATAGTATACACATGTACAATAATACGTCAATAAAGTTACATTATACAGTTTTTATATGTTATTAAATACAAAAACCTAATAAATAAATAAATTTAATAATTTTTGTTATGGTTTGAGAAAATTTTGTGAACATATAATATAACTAAATTAGAAAATTCTCATTCATTTCAAACTAAATTATAAATAAAATGATAAATTATTTTTTTAAAAATACAGAAAATTATAGAAAATGATAAATAATATATTGATTTAATATTCTGAGAATTTGCTTCCGGATCCACTGAGATCATGCAAATATTGATCCAACGGAGTAGATGGAGGAGGATCTTATTGATCTTGATGTTGATCACTTTGCTTTTGAAAAATGTGTGCTTGTTCAGCTTGAATGTATGAGCGGATATTTGGATCTTGTATGGAACTCAAATCACAAAATAAAATTTTGTTTTCTTCTTTCAGTTCTTTTAAAGCATAATTCTTTTTTTGAATCTCCAAATGATCTTGTCTTTGTGTGCTTGACTTCTTTAATTGCTTCAAAAATTACTTATTTCCTTCTTCTAAGATGTTGATAACTGTTGTTGTTAGATCAACAAGTTTTATTTTCATTTTGGATTTTGTTTTATAAAATAAATGTTTAATTTTAATATATTTTTATTATTTATAGAAATTTTTGTAAACAATAATATAAATGAGGTTAATTTATGAAAAGAATGTGTTAATAACAAATTATACAGAAAATATTCTTAAAATATTCTTTTTTAGAGGAAAAAATAGAAGAACACATTGGAGAGAAGTGCACCTCTATTTTAGAGTTCCTCTATTTTAGAGGAAAAATTAGAGGAACACATTGGAGATGGTCTAATTTATTTTTACTTGGTTAATTTCAGTAACTTTGACTAAGGATTAACTTTGAGAGTGGCATTAGATTATGGGATGGCAGCCTAGATCAATTTTTCTTCCAAAGTGGCATTTCAGCTCTTTGCTCGTAGTCACCTTCTCGAGAAGCAAACTCCAGTTTTCCATGTAGGAGAGAAGCCTTAAACAATCTGAGAATGGTAGAGGCTACACAAAACCAGAAAAGGAAGAGGCAATCGATTAAGCTTTTCCTGGATGTTTTTTTATAAGAAACTATAAAACCCATAGAAAGGCAAGCAAGTAGCAACTAACCAGCAAGATCTGTTTCAAGATCGTTTTTTTTTTTTTTTTTGAGATGGTTTTGAGAACAAACTCAGACGAAGAAAGCCCGAGCATCATAGCATTTGGTAGGAGAGCAGGAACGTTTCCCCTTGTCTTTAAACTGCTTTTGCACCTGAGACACATGAAAAAGAGAAGAGCATACACTAAAGACAATGACGGGAGTCAAATTCGGTTTAGCGATTGAACTTTTAGACAAGAATCACACGTATATTTGGTTACAAGCAAATCAAATATGAAATGTTTTTAACCTTCAACGGCCTTCCATGCATCCCACTTTGCTTTCTCATTCATTTATAACATTCCAGGACGAGCTTTGAATCATCCGAGAAAAACAAAAAAAAACGTTATTAACATAGCTAAGAAGCAAACCGGAGAATCTTAATATCAAAGCTTCTTAATAATATTAACTGGTGTTCACTGGCCCGATCGTGGCTTGCTTGTAGAGTCCATAGAGGATGAGCAAGTCCTCGTTCGAAGGTTTCGTGGTGAGCGTCTTCACCTTCTCGGCATGGTCCTCCATTTCCTCCTGCATATATATATATCTTAATTCCCTCAATCACAATCAAACTCAACACAGGACGTCACCATAAACAAATAACAAACCTAGCTCAGATTCAAAAATCTCTATTACCCTCTGCAAACAATGTATGAAAACCAGTTATGAGAACAGAACTTGGACAAGATCTTATACAATACAAAGCTTGATCTGTGTAATTGAATCTCAATATCATAAAGTCATAACTCTTAAAATACAACCTTTGATTTCGTAATTGAGAATTTTTTTACTTGCTCCTCTTTCTAATCCGGCGCAAGCCACCACGCTGCATCGCGATGGCCACTCACCACCATCAGCCGCCTCAACCCTAATCAGAATCTCCTTAAAAGCTCCTCTGGGATCTCAAAGCTCCTCTGTGATCTCTTCCGTCGCAAATTGCAATTGCAATTGCAAATCCAAGAGAAAGCCATCGGTGAAGGAGATATGATAAACAGTGTTTTAGAATCGATTCTACAGACTCGCTTCAGAGAATCTACTCTCGAAATATTTACATGCCACCTTATTTTTTATTTTCTTTTTAATTTAAGAGTCCCTCACAAACTGTGCATTGTGGATGCCCTTAGGAAATGGGCCTTCTTCATAGAATGTTGGTCGACTAAGAAGAACAAATATGATAGAACTTTCCCGGAATAGAACTAACTTGACCCATTTTGGGAGATTGGACATAACTTGAGAACTCTGTGGGCATAGTTTCTGATCTTGGGCTTGATGAAACCAGGAGAGACCAAGTAAGAATCTACAAGTGTTCTCGGGTCGAGATAGTGGCTGAGTTGGGCTGTGCAGCTCGATATATGGCCTACTCGCGAAGTTGACTACAAAACAAGTCCACCTACTTATAGGATCAATAACTTCCAAGTCTGAACCGATATTAATATGAATCCAATTGGAGAACTTTCTCTGTTGTACCAAGAGTTTATAACAATCCGGTTTGTAGCTTACTTCCTCCTGGTCCGGTCGGAATCCTCCATTCAATGCGCATACGTCCGATTGGGTTAAGCTCGACATCACCGGTTTTGTAAGCTGCATAACTTCTTCATCAGAATCGTTATTTGGATGATTCAAATTCGACGTGAATTCTTGTTGAGTCAAGCTTCTGGAACATGTAGATTTGTTGTTTAACTCCTTCTGATTGGCTAGATATGGGCTATCAAAGGAACATGTATCCTGGTCGGACCCTTGGCAACTAGAGTGGCATGTTTGATGGATCTCTGGTTCAGCTACTGGTTTTATGATCGCATCAGGGGGATTTACTGTTAGAGCCCGACATGAAATCTGGTCAGCCCATTTTGGGAACCCAAAGAATATTCAGGTCGGCCAAATAAATGGAAATCTTCCATTTATCGGTTAAATCCGGAAAAGACGGAAGGTTGGCCTTATCGGCAAGGAAGTTTTCCTATTTCGAGTAAACTTAGTTATCCTTAAAAGATCGACCTGATCGGCTATAAATAGAGGAAGTCTATGACTTCTCAAGATATCCGAAAATCCTCTCTCGAGACCTAGGGCAAACTAAGCAATCTATTGTTCTTAGTTCTCGAGCTTTTCTTTCATTCATATTTTAGGTTGGTGTTCTTATTCCGTCGACCTAAACAATCGTGTATCTTTCGAGCTCCGGCTTTAATCTAATTAAGATCTCTCTTTAAACCCATTAACTCTTGTTCAGTCTTTAGGTCGGATTTGAGTTGTCACAATGATGAAGAAGATGAATTTTATATAGAGAAATTTGTTTAAAGTAATCCAGGGGGAAATATTGTTAAACATATATCCTTTTTAAAAAAAAATTAAATATTTGTGCTATACTCTTTAATAATTTGGTTTAATTCTTTTTTAGCTAAAATTCTTATAATTAATAAAAGATTTATAGATTTTTTTATATAAGCGAATTTAAAATATAATGAGTAGTTTTCTCTTATTGTTATTTATAAAATTTTAAATTTTATTAAGTAAAATAATAACAGAGACACTTGTCAAAATTTTTAACTTTGATGTACATATATGTTTGATTTAGAGAAATGTTTCCTTGCTAAGATTTTGATATTTTTTTTTAGGATTTATACAGTTCTTTTCTTTTTTATTTAAAGTTTATGTATTCAAATATTTAGTTTTTTTAATTTAATATTATTGATGTTGTATGTATATATAATTCATGATTCATGTTGATTTGCATTTAGTTTTGTTAAGAAGCTGTAATGATCATACAAAAATGTTTTTTTTTTGTCTTTGAGGTCTTCCACGAGTTTTAGCTTAATTGATGCAATTTTCCGGTATTCTAACAAGAGGTGTTTGTAGTTTTGTGTGTTTGTAAACTTCTCCACATTGGTCTGCTTTCGTTTGTCGAAATCTTGCTAGTTTAATGCATTACGTATGTTATCATGGAAAGAAATAGTCTTCAGTTTATCCGTACAGAAACATTTTGTCAAAAAATATACATAGCGGATCATATTAATTTTTAACTTGCTGTGAGTTTTTTGAAAATTAATTTTTTGAATATGTTACATTTTGATAGCGACTGAAGAAGTAGATCTGTTGTCAAATTTTATAGGTGATATATATCTCTTACCACTGAAAAAAAAAAAAAAAACTTTAATACTTTCTTTTGATAGTTGCCTTTTCCCACTGAAGGAAGCAAGGGCTCTGTTTAACGTTGTGCCGGAGAAGAACATATCGTCACTTACAACGATGTTGACTGAAGTTGTGGTGGTCTCGGTGTTGCACACGCAAGTTATATCTAACGGTTGGAAAAGCTTAGATCACGATGGAAGGTTAGCGAAAAGTTTGAAATGAAGAAGGATGTTAATGCGGTGAGACTCTCATCTCTCTTGCTTATGCTTGTGGTAATGATGATGGAAGGTAGGCGAAAAGTCTTGTTTCATATGTATGCATCATCCAGTTTGATCGCTTTAACGCAGTCTCGCCTGGAATAAGAGTCTTAGAAAACGTGACTAAGGTTAATTAGAGTCATCATCAACCCAGAAACAAACCCTTAATTTCACCGACACTCTTTAAATTGAGTGAACTTTCCAAGACTTTTTGATAATGTATTATTTGGTATGAAGCCAATATTAAGTCACTGACAGTGAGCCAACGGAGTGATAAAGCTCACGTAGAACCAGTAAATGAGTGAGTCTTTGTTACAAATATAATGAAAGACAACTTCATCCGGCATATATTAATAGAAACTTACTACCTTAAAGAATTTCTTATTAGATAACCGGAGAAAAATACAAACTAAATAGAGTTTGGGGAGCAAAGGAAGCAACCAGGTTTTGACACCTGTAAATTAATCATCATCTGAAAGACACAGAACATCAACTTTGTTTATGCCCTCAAACCTAAGACGATCTCGTTGCAGCTTAGCTTTAGAATAGGATGTTTTCTTCCTAAAATTAAACCTAAAATCCTCTACAGGATCTAGAAAAACGCGAACTACTTGGTCATTATTGCCAACCTGGGTACCTTTGATTTCAAATATTTGGAGAGCGTTTCTTTCGGGATTGAGGTAGTACACATGAAACGGTTTACGTATATAGCGATCCGAGAAAACAATTTCACCTATAGCTGTCACTCCAACAACGTCAACATGTAGGCAGGTGATGAGTTGATTATGATCCGGCAGAATGTAGCCATGTTCCGACCATTCTTGTTTCTCTAAATCCTCTAGAATCCACACATGCAGCTTAAGGGTATCATCACTTTCAGAAATACTTTTCCATATAATCACGCATAATTTACCTTTATTGCATATCAATTTACTAAACCCATAACCTGCGTCCATAAACTTGATGAATTTCTTAGACCTGACATCAAAGCAAGCTATCTTCTCATGATGATATGGCGTTTCTTTAAGACCTAAGAAGTAATACAAAACCCCATTGATGCATATCCTAGAGGACGAGTGAGGATGATGGGTTGAAGGGCATTGGATCTCCCTCCAACTCATTTTTTCAGTTCCTAACGTCAGAATTCTATAACCATCATTGCGAGCTATGACTAATACCTTGAACTGCTTATCAATGGGATCAAACCCTAAAAAGCTACTCGAATAGCTGACCTCATTTCTCAATTCAGGTAAGCTCGTACGCTGTCCTGTGCTAGGGTTACATATCACAAGCAATGTATCCTCGTCTTCTGAGCTCCTATTGACAGACGTAGGACGGAAACACATCAAACCAGAGGCATAGCCACAAAAGAATAGCCCCAAGTCTCCAGGGAACTTTATATGAGAATGGGCGGCTACAACAAGAGACGACCACTTCTCATCATATGGACTATGAGGCCGGGGCGACGAGAAGAAGTGGGAGCTACAGCTTCTAAATCCTTTCATGGCGAATAAGAGACGTGGACGAGCGGAGGATCTGGTCAGGACTAACTCGGTGAAATCTTGACGGCAAAGTATGGACTCCCATAGCTTCGATACGCAACGACACCTCCCTATTGACTTGATTGGCAATCTAGAGAATATCTCGTGAAAGAGATCAAGAGGGATTGAATTCATTGATCGCTCAGTATTCTGCTGATCAGACGCAGAGAGAGAGAGAGAGAGAGAGAGAGAGAGAGAGAGAGATGCACTACAAAAGTTACAAATTATCGCGAAGATGTGTAGTTAGAATTGGGTGTGCCTTGGTCATTTGTTCCAAACCGAACCAATTCAAGATTTGGTTAATTTGGTTCTATTTCGGTTAAAAGGCAAAACAGATCGAAACGTGGTTCTTTTGAGTTTTGACTATTTGTTTAATTTGTTGTTTGCCTGAGGCTTTAAGTTTGCTATCTCCAAATCCCTTTGTTACTACAAAACCCACAGAACAAAATACAGATAGAACTAGATTGTAAAGTCTCCAAGTCTGGTTCGTCCTTGAACCAGGGCGTTTGTAAGTGACATCAAAGACTCCATGGCCTTTTTCACAATATGTTGATCATCATAATGTTGCAAATTTGACTTAATCATGATTTGACAGAAAAATAATTTTTTGGATTTTTAATGAGAAAATACAAGTTCTTAGTTTGGCGTAATTTCTCAGTTTTGATGGGAAAATAAAAATTTTCGGTTTTTAACGGAAAATATGATTCCTTGGTTTTAGCGGAAAAATGTAATTTCACGGTTTTGCCAAGAAAACATAATTGTATGGTTTTGGCGAGAAAATACGATTTTACGGTTTTAGCGAGAAAACATAATTTTACGACTTTGGAGGGAAAATATGATTTTATGGTTTTGTCGGAAAAACACGATTTTACGATTTTAGTAGTTGTGGATTAAAAAATTAATTTTGCATTTTTGACAAAAAATAGGATTTGAAAATAGCACAAAAATTCGGTTTTGTTGTTTCTGCCAATTTGTTTTAAGAATAACTATAAATTATATCATAGTATAGTTTGATAATTTGTAATTTGCATTTATATGTTTTATTTGGATAATTAAGGTATTTTAAAATTTTGTTATTTTGAACTAGATCATCTCTATTAGGGGTGGGCATTTCGATTTTTGGTTTGGTTTCGGTTCGGTTTCTTCAGTTTTACGGTTTATCGGTTTTACGAAAATTCAAACCATATAAAAACCATATATATTTCGGTTCTGTATGGTTTGGTTTTTTACGGTTTGGTTTATTATGGTTTGGTTTCGGTTTTTTTAGAATTATATTTTTACGAAATTTTTTGATTCAAACTAATAGAAATAATAATAATAAATATGAGTGAAATAAAATAATAAATTCAAAAAATAGAATCTAAATCATAAAAAAATCATCAATAACGACAAATTTCAAAACAGAAAAACAAATAAATTATTAAATTTTTCATAATCAATAATTATAAAACAATAAACTAATCTATATTAAAATTTAATACTTATAAGGCTATAACCTTGAAACTAGAACTAGAAAACTTGAATGTGAAGAAAAAAATAGTTAATTACATTATTTTTTCATTGAAAAATTAAGGTTTACTTTATTATTTTTATGTAGAATTCTTTTATAAATATTATATTTTAAAAACCCAAAAAACCTTTTGGTTTGACGGTTTTTAACCAAACCAAACCTAAACCAAAGCTATAAAAAAATGATGGCCAAATGGATTTTTAGGTTTAACCATAACCAAACCATATCACTTTTTTCGGTTTGGTATGGTTTGGTTTTTTCGGTTATAGTTTTTGTGCCCACCCCTAATCTCTATCCAAATGATCAAATTTGGTATATCAGGATGAGTTTAGGAAATTAGCCTAAATTTTTAAAATACATTTAAATAATCCATCTAGCTATTAACATTTTGTTACAAAACAAACAAAACTCTCATCTCTATCCACATGGTTTATCTAGATGGAAGAACAGACGCTAAGAAAAAAAAAAGGAAAAACAACAACCTTGTGATTCGGTCAGGTTTGCTTGCTCGGTTACTTCATTGCAACAACTATCAAGTTTGTGTAAAGGACAAATGCTTTTTGCTTGCTTGTAAGAAAAAAAAAATACTTAAATACTTCAATTGTTTATAGTAACTTCAAAAGAGTCATGAGGTTACAAAAGATGTGGAATACCAAAATCCAAAATAGACGAATTTAAACGAGATTGAACATAGAGATCACTTAAGAGTTGAGAAGTAGAAAACAAAATAGACGAATACTTAGGGATGTAGAAAGTAAGCGCATCTGCAAAAACAAAACGAAAAAAACAGAGAAAATATTTTATTACATTCACATGCCAATTCACCATAAAAAAAAAAAGAATATTCGATAACAATGTATACCTCATGTTTACTTGAAAGATAAAGCATCTGAGATGATTCTATCGTCTTCTTCGTAGACCTGTAAATAAAAAGACTTCATAAGAAACTGAATTAAAGCATCTTTCATAACTTAAAAAGAGTCATGATGAGGTTACAGAAGATGTAATTTACCAAAATAGACGCAAAAAAATGAGACTGAACATAGAGGTAACTTCATTTACTTGGGATTTTCTAGCATCTGCACACAAGAAATTTAGAGGACTATATTAATACATTCACAGAGCATAATAGCAATTTATAAAACCATAAAAACGACATATTTATTAAAAAATTGTACCTCAAGTTACTTGAGAGAGAAAGCATCTGAGATGACTTTCTCATCTTCTTCATAAACCTGAAGATTCTTGGACTTCATAAGAAACTCCACCGCATCGTCATCGAACTCCACCAAGTAAGCCATCTTCACAAACTCTGACAACCGTCCGATCAGTTCCTCTCTCTCCCACATCACTCCCTTAGCAACAACCTCAGCGAAACACGTGGCGTACTCCAAAACCTTTCTATTCCCACAAGCTTCCTCCATCTTCTCCGCATAAACGACTCCCTTCTCCCTCTCCCACCTTATCATCCGCTTCGCCTTCGCGATCAGCTTCTCTCCTTTCGACGGTAGATTCAAACTATACTCCGTCGAGATCGTCTCCGGAGTTTCAACAACGTTCAGAGTGACAAGACCATGTACGATCCTAGAACGTTCCTCAGCATCTATCTTGAGAGTTGGATCAGAGAGGAAACCGAGAATCAGCCGTACCAGCCCCGGTTTGATCAGATTTTTATTCTCTTTGATATCAACTCCATCGGTTAACTTCGCTTCTGCCATCTCAACGCATTTGGAGATCTCTTTGACGCCGATTTTTCTGTAAAGCTCCAAAAGACTCGTTTGCGACAAAGACGCGATGCTTGGAGTTGGGTACCACACGAAAACAGGGGAATCTATGAACAGATCTTTCAACAGCAGATCATCAGCTATGAACACGTCGCTTATGTCCGATAACAAGACTCCTCCATCTTGTCCGTTGACTGGCAAACGAGAGAAGGACTCAGAGAGGATCTTCTCAGCTTTAACAGTGTAACTGTGTCGAACAACGAATCTCCAGAACGCACAACACTCGTCGTTAGACAAACTCTCCTTCGTTCTCTCCCAATCTTTCCACAGAGCACAGTAATCCTCAATCGAAGGGCTGGTTCTCACTTCAAACGCAGATGAGAAGAAGACAAGAAGGTCACGTTCTGTATAATGGTTTTCAAGAACGTTTAGCTGCGATGATGCAAACAGTTTATCTTTGTCGTAGATCACACAGCTCGAAACATCTGCCCATTTCGCATCGCTCGGGATCCAAATCCGGCCTGAAGACGATTCTTTCTCAGGCTTCCATTCGGATTTACAGAGGAACCTGTATATTCTTGAGATGGCGTCAGAATCAGAATGTGTGTGTACGTGGCTAGCAAGCAACTTGCAAGCTTTGGCTGAATCATGACCAACACCAATCGCGATAAGCTCGTTCTTGTACGAAGTTATCTCCGAGACACCATAGTACTCTTCATCGATGAATGGACCATCACACGGCTCTAAACCCCAGTCGCTGTTATAAACGAGACACTCTTCGGGACTGCAGTAGCCAGAATGCGTCTTTAACCATTTGACAGAAACCTTTTCAACAAACTCTTCAGGGAGTTTCCCGAATCTTTCCTCGACCAAGAACCTGACGCACTTAAGAAGAGACAGTGCGCTCGTAGGAGCGACGCGTGAAGGATCAGGGAGGCTTAAGGAGCTAACCACATGGCTCATGCCTTGGCTCAGCTCAACTGTAACTCCCAAACCCTTTAGCTCTTTCTTGTACTCGTGAATGCTTTGGCTGTACCAGTTTGCGCTGTCGTCGATGAACGGGAGATTCGCTATGAGACGGAGAGGTTCCCATTCTTGTTCAAAGAGAATGCAATCTTTTGGTGCATGGAAGTCGCCGAGTTTGGTACGCAGCCATTGCAACTCTTTGAAGCTTTTCAAGAGTTCTTCAGGGAACTTATGACTACCTTCACTCAGTTTCCTGTAACAAGATAGAAGAGACGAGGCGGTGCTTCGTGTTAGACCAGAGGAAGTAGCTTTCTGCTTAAACGTACGAACAAAGCCTTTCACTGCTTCTTCAAGCTGAACCACAACACCGATCTGTTTCAGCTCCTCCTTGTAGGAAAATATCTTTCTTCCGTAGAAACCCTCGTCGATCAAAGGGAAGCCATCAAAGACTGTTAAAAGGCAGCTCCATTCAGGATCAGGTATGAAACAATCTGCAGGGGACTTGTAGCCACTTGTTGTCTTGAAGCATTGAGAGTTTCTCAAGGAAGCAATAAGCTTTTGAGGACTCAGACGACGCATACAGGCAAGCACTAAGAGCATTCCATCGGCTGTTAAGTAATTCAGCTTTGAAGGGTTCAAGTGAGAAACGATGAGGCTGTGATTCTCTTGGAACTGAACAACAACGCCTAGTAGCTTAAGCTCTTCCTTGAAGCCATTGAGGTTAGCCTCACCGTAGAAATCTCTGTCTATAAACGGAATGTCAGAGATCAGCTTGGCGGCTTTCCATTCTTGGCTGAACAAAACAACTCCATCAGGAGATCTGTCACCGCATGTTGTCCTAATCCAGCGGACATTCTTCACAGCACTGATGAAATCATCTGGTGAGAGTAGCTTCTGTCTCAAATGCCTAATGAACTTCAGAATCGAGAACACGTTCGCTGTAGACAAAGATGAATTCATAGCTAAACCCATGAGATGGTTTCCAACAAACTCACAGGCTTCACTAAACTCAAACATGACACCGGCAGTTTTAAGCTCTTCTCTGTACTTCTCAATCTCATTTCCGTAGAAGCTTCGATCAACAAGTGGGATATCCACAAGAATTGATCCGTCTTGCAAGATCCGTCCCCATGATGCAGTATGGTAAAAAGACTGAGAAGGCGGGCGATAATCAGAGCACCCATTCATCATTGTTCTTAACCAGCTTCCTCCTCTAACAGAACCAAGAAACATGGGAAGAAGATAATATCTGTTACACTTAATCCACTCCAAGAGCAAGAAAGCATTCTCTTTTCTTAGAGCACCAGACAAGGCAGGTATAGCAGCATTTGGAGGCTTTAAGTCAGGTATATCTCCAGCCTTAGCATAGGATTTAAGAAACTCAAGAAGCTCTCTATGATTAGACATCACACCAGCAAACCTACCAGAAGACAAATACTCTTCCCCAAGCTCAATGTAACCGTTTTGTCTCCAAGGGTTGGAGCCAATCAAGCTTACCCATTTGCCTGTGCTTGAAGGAACAAGAACACCGGTCCTACTTGTGTTGACATTCCCATAGTTGTCCACAAGAGGCATGTCTTTACAGCATTTCACAGCCTCGTCATTCGATAGAAACCCCTTCGAGATTGAGCGATGGAGAAAGTGTGCATACGCAACCACAAGCCTCTTATCTCCATTAAGATTCTCCCGGAGAGATTTTGCGTAGTCAGAGATACTAAGTTTGGTGACGGTAAACTTCTCCTTGAGCCAGTTAAGTACTGTTTCCTTCTTGGAACAAGCTAGAAACGCTGACTTTGTTATTTGTGGCAGGAAAACAAACTTAGACATGAATCTGAACTCATCATTCCAATCCAGTAGCCAAACCTGGTTCTTGTCTGTAGGGAGGCATAATGTCTTAGGACTAAAATCTGCCAAACTGCTGAGAGAAGTCATCACTCCCTTCTGCACAACGTACTTGATAAGCGGAACTCTAACCATGTTCGTACTCTTGAATCTTGACTCCCAATTCTCAGCTAGGAAAACAAGAACCTCCACATACGTATTTTCTGAAACACTAGTCACGAGATCACAACCCTGAATGCACTTCGCATACCATTCGTTGCCGACTCTCTGCACACCCAAGAACTCCATAACCTTGTCGTTCTCTGTTTTGTCAAAGCATGGATCCAATATGTACACCCCATGGGATGAGATGTTCTGCAAGCTTGCACCTTCTTCTTTTGCTTTCTCCAAGAAGTCCCAGAAATCAGGGATGAGACGACCGACCTCACATGGCCTGTGGAAGAACTTTTGTCCCTTGTGGGACACGCTTGGCACGATCTCCTCTGCTGAAACCCTTGTCCTCACAGATTCTCTAACAAGATTCATCTCCGCGTAAGTAGATTGCTCTACAGGCAAGAACCTAAAGACAGGAAGCAAGGTGGACACAGGTGCTTCGGTCTTTTTCACCAAGGAGGTGAATGCATTCACGAAAGCCATCGGAACACAGTTGAGAACCCCTTGGTTCCATTTGTCATCAAGAACTATAGTTTCTCTCGATGAAGCTAGGATGAAATCAGCTTGGATGATGAAGGGAAAGTTCGTTACCATCTCTGTAGGAAGAAACGCATAGACACCAGGAGAGCTGTTTCCACGGCCAAGACGCTCTCCGAATGGGAAAGCCAAAGTTATGACCCAATCCTCGACTCCACTTCTCCTATCCACACGGTTCTCATGTTTCACCTGGAACTTTTGCTTCCACATATAGTAACTACACTGTTTCTCAGAACTAGTTTCACTAGCAGAGAGGTGGACAGTGTATGACTCTGCATCAATGCTCTTCCTCGCCACAAGATCAGTCTCGCTTAGGATCCCGATCGAGTTCACCGTGCTGAGCCTAGAGTCTTGGCAGTGTTCTCTGATAGAGAGGCGCTTGATCTTGGACAGAAACAATAGAACTTCAGGGTGAACATTGGAGAGCTGTTCTTTCACCGGCTTTACTTTGTCATTGTACAACGGCAAGATTATGGTTGTTGTCGGAAGAGCAGAACCAGAACCGTAAATCCTTTGAATGTCGCCACGAGAAGGATTTTGCTCAACCCACTCAGGAACAATGTAGCCAAGGCTGCATTGGCTGCAAGGCTCCTTGTTGAATCTGATCTGATACCCGTTGCTGAAGATATAAGGGTGAGAAGTAATCAAGAAAACACTTTTGAAACCGATTCCTGCAAAGAGAATTAAAACAGAACACACAAATGTAAGAACAAGGGTCTATGGGCAAATTCGTGTAATGTTCTTGAGGTTACAGTACAAAGGCGAAGACACAATACCTTTCTCGCCAATGTAACCGCGTTTCCGGTTGCCTTTCTTTGTGGATCTTCCAACACTGCAAATGGACTCAATGTTCTTCTCTGAGAAACCTTTCTCATTGTTGAATATGAGGAGAGTCGCTGGAGCTCCAGTGGCTGTTATGTCCTCAGATGTAACGACAAACTCAAGAGAAGGATCCACACCTTCAGGGTACTCGTTGTCCTCAGCGTTCTGGTAAGAAAGGTTTCGTTACTATGTTGATCATTCTAATATAGTAATATACATAAACTAAACATCCCTTTGCTTAGCGAAAAAAATCAAGGAAATATGTTTTATATATCTAACAGAATAAAAAATACATTGATTGTAGAAAATCGGTACTTCAAATTCCACATATTGTATCTTGATTACATTTCAAAAAGTCAAAACCATTTATGTTCATGATTATTGTATGTGTGTGACTGTGCCAAGAGCAAGCATGATTCTGATTCTACATATACGCATCAATACAAGATACAAAGCAGAGTGAGAAAGATTTAGAGCATTTACTATGTAAGATCATTCCTTCGAATATAAACTCAGTTGCATTATGAACTTAAACAATCAAAACCATTTGTTTGTTTGTGTGTGCGCGTGCAGAGAGCAAATATGATTCTGATAGTATATACAGAGAAAAAAGAGGTCACGATACAAAGCAGAGTGAGAAAGATTCAGAACGTTTTCAGGAAACAAGACCATGAAAGATCATTCCTTTACTTTGATACGGAGAGTATACACGTAAATAGACTTTCGTATAATATGAACGAGTATACACATACACAGATACAAACATATACTATAACACAAGATACGGAGAGAAGTCAAAGAGTAAAACTCACTTGGATAAGCTCCATAAGGAAGTGAACATCCTTAGTGTATATCTCAACGGCGAGATTCGTCACGGCCTGATGAAGATCCTCCGTCAAAGGATTATCAGCTCCGCCTATTGAAAACTTAGTCTTCCGAATTTGATCAATGTGTCTTTTCGCTGCTTCCGCCATTGTTTTTTTTTTTTAAATCTCTCTTCCCTGCGTGTGGGGAAGAACAGAGAGTGTGAGTACTTATAAAGAGAGAAGGAAGGAAACTTCATAGGGAAGGTAAAGTTGGGAATTAAGGAGTTGAAAGTATATATAGTAACGATGATGTGACTCTTGTACGGGGAAAACCAAAAGACTATAATTTGATTGGCTAAACCAAAAGAAAACCCTACTTTGTACTGTGTGTTGTTACATTAACGAAAAAGTAATGCAACTTCGTAAATCTAAGTATATAATCAATTCTTTCTTTTCTTTTTTTTTTCTCTCTTTAGTAATGTGTAAACATTTATTCCATTGATAACGACTAACGAGTGATAATGTAAAACCAAGAATATTGATTCACTATGAATTAAATCTTGTGGGGTTGGCTGATCTTTCCTGGTAGGAGAGTACTGTATCTTTAATTTCTTTCGGTTTAACAAAAAAAAAACTAAATTTTCGTGTTTTATGGGTCTGATTTTTTTTAAAATACTTATAAAGAAAACATTTATGATAATGACAAATACTTGTATCAAATATACTCCCTCCCAAAATATAGTTGTTTTTAAAAAACTTTACACATAATAAACTAAGAAAATATTAATTTTTTTTTGTTTTTTTTAAACAAAAGTATCTATAATTTCTTTCGAAACTAAATTTTCGTGTTCTTAAGGGTCTGATTTTAAAAAAATACTTATAGAGAAAACATTTATGATAATGACAAATACTTGTATCAAATATACTCCCTCCCAAAATATAGTTGTTTTTAGAAAACTTTACACAATAAACTAAGAAAATATTAATTTTATTTTTGTTTTTTTCTAAACAAAAGCATCTATAATTTCTTTCGGTTTAACAAAAAAAGAAACTAAATTTTCGTGTTTTTTAAGGGTCTGATTTTTAAAAAATACTTATAAAGAAAACATTTATGATAATGACAAATACTTGTATCAAATATACTCCCTCCCAAAATATAGTTGTTTTTAAAAAACCCTACACATAATAAACTAAGAAATTTTTAATTTTTTGTGTTTTCTAAACAAAAGCATCATTTATTATCTACAAATACAAATGGTTTTCACTATTCAATCCTTTGCGAGCATTCTTTTATAAAAGAATGACAAAGATTGAATCAGTGAAGATGCCAAAGTTTGTGATGACAACAACCATTAAAAAGGTAGTAAAACTCAGATGCCTTGTCCATCGTATGACTTCCATCTTTCTATCACTACTTTGAACTCTTCATCTCTTTTCCTTACCTAAATAAATAAAAAAACCATAAGTTAAGTCGAATAAGTACCTTAATAATACCTCCAACGATCCATCATCATTATGTAAAATCCTCAAATTAAGATGTTGTGTACCTCAACCATAGGGTTCCTTCCACGAAGCAACATATCAACACTCTTTTCGGTCTGCAATAGAGTAAGCGAAGAAGATGTTCAATGTCAAGAAGATAGTGACATGCGAAAATACAATCAGTACCTGATGTGCAATCCAATAATCTCTCTCTCTCATCTCAATCAAGAAATAAAAAGTAGGAGGAGCTTTTCTCTCGAGAATGCTCTTCTGGCTCCTTCTCGCCCTCGCTTCTTCATCTCCCAGAGTAACAGTCTCAATACCCCCAATCTACAAACACCAACAATAAGAAGACAATCGAAACATGCAAGGGACGAAAACATAACATTACAGACAAGTAATTGATTATTACCAAGTCTGAGAGAGTAGGGTTCTTGATGATGTTCTGTAGCTGCTCTCCATGAGCAGTACCAATCAGCATCACTCCTCTCTCGGCGATTGAACGACAAGCAAGCGCCTCAGCTTCCGTGCCGATCTCGTCAACGATGATCACCTGAGGCATATGGTTCTCTACTGCCTCAGTCATCACTTTATGCTGCAAAGACGGCTTCGGTACTTGCATCCTACGCGCACCTCCGATAGCTGAGTGTGGAATATCTCCGTCGCCTCCAATTTCGTTGCTTGTATCGATTATCACCTGAAACACACATTGCACAATACTAAATCACTTGCACACAAAAAAAGGCAAAGGCATAACCTTTCAGGGAAGCAAGAACCCACCACTCTTTTCTGGAACTCATCGGACAAGAGGCGAGCAATCTCCCGCAAAACAGTGGTCTTTCCAACACCGGGCCTATGATCAAGAACTCGATTCAAACCACCACCATCAAAGAAGTGAGAAATGAAGCAACAGAGAGTAGCAAGCAAAAGCAACAAGTACCGTCCAACGAACAAGATGCTTTTGCCATAGTGAAGTAAGTCATAGATCATGTCAATGTGACCACTCACAGCTCTCCCAACACGACAAGTCAGACCGACGACGAAGCCTTTCCGATTGCGAATAGCCGATATTCTGTGCAATGTACCCTCTATACCAGCTCTGTTATCAGCACCGAACTCACCTACAAGCTCTTGAGCATCCTCTAGCTCTTCCATGGATACCTAAGCTAGTGTTTCATGGATACAAGAATCCAGATTCAAAGACCATCAACACACACAACACACAGAGAACATCAAAAAGTAGTTTGTTTACCTCGATGTTCCTAAGATATTGGCCTCCGGGTTCTCCGAGATAACGTGCTTCAGGTGGTCTCCCCAAGTCCATTATCACCTGATCGAGATTCAATTTCAAATTCATCGCACATAACATAAACATTTCTCAATATGCTTTAAATTTGGACTAGACAGGAGGAGCTAAAGAGTAAGTAATTACCTCTACGAGCTGGTTTCTGCGGGAATCGTTAAGGAGACGGTGACGAAGATCTCGGGGAAGAATCTGCAAAACATCCAAGGGTTTAGGGAAATATCGGACTGAGAGTGTAGAGCAGAGGTGTGATTCACCGTGAAATTAGACCTCGAGAAAAGAACCGAGATTGTCATCGACGATCATAGACGAGGAAATTGGAAGAGCGAGGGAGACGACGGTGGAGTAAACCGGAAGACGCCGGCGAATTGGGAGAAAAAGACGACAAGCTTCGCCGCTCCATGGGACGCACACTCCGGCCATCTTTCACTGAGCCACCGAGCGGATAAGGAAGATTCCAGTCCAGTAAAGACTCAACGAAACATAAAGAATTATCAAAGTATGGGCCGTTGGGCCTATCGAGAGTTCTCGTTGATCAAATCGGGATTTACAGTAGCCCACATTAATCTCCTAATCATAAATTACAAGTTAAATCACCAGACACGCTTTTGTACACTATGTAGGGTCATTACGCTTTCCCTGAAATTGTTAAAACAACCTCAGGGTTCAATCCGAAATTTGGTTCGGTTTCGGATCGGTTTTTACAGCTTTTTGGTTTCTCTGATTATAATAATCATCTCTAGGATAACCAAATCTGTTATTATAAATGGTTTGGTCTGGATTTTGGTTTCGGATTATAATAATCATCTCTAAGATAACCAAATCTGTTTATAAACGGTTTGGTCTGTATTTTGGTTTCAGTTCAGATTCGGTTTTTAAATAAAACATATCACTAAATTTCAAAAAAAAATCTGCTCAAATTGGTTTTATTCTTTTTGGGTCGGTTTCAGTTTTCAGTTTTCAGTTTTTCGGCTATATAAAAAGTTAATCCATTTAAACTGTATTAAGTTATGTTTTAGTTTTTAGATCAGTTGTTTTAGTTTGGTTTGAATCGGATCAGTTTTGTTTATCCGAATGAAACACCCATCTCCCAAAATTGCAATGTGAAGATGCAAGGACATCTTGTACAGGTCAAGAACAAACTCAGGAAGGACATTATGAAGCATGTAGCCATAGAAGCTTGTAATTGACGTAATACTGCTGACGTGGCAAAACAAGAGATTGAGTTGAATGGAGCTTGGCAAATATTTTGAGATATTTGACAAAAGAAAGCAAGATACGGTGATATATCCTAGGTTTATGATTTGGGTAGTTAAAATACTATCCTAGGTTTATGATTTGGGTAGTTAAAATACATATGAAGCTGGACAAAGTGTGTTCTGTACACTTTGAACCGTAATTATATTAGAACATCTTTAAGCTTCACCATGAAAGATAAAGCTAGAAGGTTATTATTCTTTTCCATGATACATGTGGTGTGTAATCTTGTGAAGATTGTTTAGAACTAGAAATCATTTGGAGGCAATCTAAATTTAGAGTTGCATAACATTAATACAACTGTAGTTAGAAGGATTTAATTGTAACGATTCTAGTTAATGAAATAAGCGTTAGATTTGGCGCTTTCTAATTTATTATGGGTGTTGTTATTATTTTCTGCATTTACACAATGATCATTAAGTATATTACTATGCTTTTAGTATACACTACGTATGGATCTGTATTTATATTAATATTATGGTTTATTTTTTTTAACTAATATTTTTTAAATTATTAAAACTAAAATAAATTTATTAAAAATTCCTTTTATATAAAATAAAATAAATTAAAATGGGTAATTTTTTATATATAATATTTTAAATCTTATTAAATAAAATAATAGTAAATACATTTATTGAATTATACAATTTCGGCATATATATATGTTTGATTTAGACAATGGTTTTCTAGCTAAAATCTTGTAGTTTTTAATTGTATATCTCATTAATGTTGTGTACATATGCATATATATTTTATGATTCATGTCAATTCGCATTTAAATTTGTTAGGAAACTGCAATGATTATGCAAAGTTGTTTTTTTGTTTCTCCAATAGATCTTCCATGAATTTTAGGTTTTTAGCTTATATCTCTATTTAATTTATCACTGAAATCTACTTTTTATTAGTCTAATATTTGGTAATTTTAGTTATTAAACTTATAGAATCAGTAAAGTCGAATTAAGAATCTCGGCTAGGTAATGATCATCATATCTAATTGAACCATCATCGTCTTCATCCTTATAAATGAATGTCTGTAGTTAATTGGGCCCAGGGCTTCGGCTTTATGGTGTAGACTGTAGTTAACTTGTTAATTGTTATACAGATGGATGCATTAGAAACTAGTCTTAGGCATCAGATGGCCGGACCCGACCTGACCCGAAAAAAATAGTTCAATTTGGTTTCAGTTCTTACCTAATAACTGATTGGGTCTTATTTAATTTTGGTTCAGGTTTCCATTCGGTTTGGATAAAATCCAAGAATCGATCGGTTACCCAAATACCTCAAACCAAACTACAAAACATTTTTTTATTAATCTAATTAAAAAATCCTTTTTTAAGGCATCTCCTCTCTATTTAATTAATCTTACTTCTTCACTTTATGCAATTCTCCTTCCTCGCCTTCTCCTTCTCATTCTCCTCTTTTTCTTCTTCTCATTCTCTTCCTCCTTCAAATCCTTCGATTCTCCTCTTTTTCTTCTCCTCCTTTTCTCCTTCTCCTTTTCTTCCTCCTTGAACTTCTTTGATTCTCCTCTTCTCCTTCTTCTCTTTTTGTTTTTTCATCTCCTTCTCCAAATCTTCTTCTTCTCTTTCTCTGATTCTCCTTTGATTTTACTTTTCTAATCCTTCTTCTCCTTCTTCTCATCATTTTATATTTTTCTTTCTTCAATTTGGAATTTCGCTCAAATTTTTGGATATAATTCAGATCTAATTCGGATCTTTCAGGTCTAAATCGGGTTTTTCGGATCCAAAAAACACTTAATTCGGATCAAAATCAGAAAACATCAATTTTTTTTTGGTTATTAACAATTTTTTCAGATCCGACCCGATTCGACATAGACCTGAACCGAGCTGACCGATTTTCAACTGAGTCCTAAATGGATCCTAATCATGCCTATCCAAACTACCCGAACCCGAAAAGATTTGACTCAATCCAACCCGAGGACCCAATTGTCTAAGACTAATATAAACTGTCACAGTCACAAGACTCACAACATAACGTCTCTTTTTTTTAAAAAAAAAATTTTTTTTTAAAAAAAAAGTTGTTTGCTTTGGCTAATAAACATGAGGGATCAAAACTGTTTGTTTTGTGTCTGCCTGTGCAAACGTAGTTCAATAAAGTAAATATGTTCTTTTTAACTAGAATCAAAAGTAAGTTTACAACTTGATCATCAGTTATTTGTGCCTGATTTTTTTCTTCAATATAACTTTTAGGGGTTTTAATATCATAGTTGCCGCTTATGTTTTAATTTAATTGGATTATTAATTGTTAAATAAAAAACCGCTGATTTAGATTATTATCTAGCTTAAGCTTCCAAGTCAAAGTGTTATCTAGCTAAAGCAAAGATGGATTGAGACATATATCCTTTTAAATTCGTATACACATAACAGAGCAAATATCAACTAGTTGAAAATGTACGATATTCTTATTAACTTCATCAATGAAACAATTTGCTTCCAATCACATAATGAAATAAATGGAAAACATGTAATCAAATAGCAAAAATACATATATAGAGAGATATAACTGTATAACCAAAAATAGCATCTATTTAGAATAGCCCAAGAAAACCATTTTCACCGCGCAAAGAAAGTAGATTCGAAGGTGGCTGGACCGTGGACGAGTTATTGTTACCTTCCTCTTCGAACCTCATAACTCTAGACGAATCCTCATGGTTCCCCATGTGACAAGTCACCATTCCCCATTCACCTACTGATTTGCACGTGCCAACAGCCTCAACACTTGATGGCTCACACGCTTGCTGGTACTGATGAAACCCCTGATCACTCTCGCTTTCTCTTGGAAGAAGAGCCAAGGAGTAGTCATAGCCAATTGAAAGAGCCTTATTGTGATGAGAGGAAGTCAATATAGCTTGAGACTGAAACATTATTGGTGGTTGGTATTGATGAAGACCAATCTCTCCAGGCTTGTTAAGCTCAAAGGAAGCTGTGTTCCCGTGGTAAGGGCTTAACTTGCGGCCGAAGCTACGAGCTTCAAGCCTAGGGTTGTTTGAGCTTGCATCATTCCCTACTTTGAATAGATTTTTCTTCGTGAACACTCTACATACAACCCATCCATCTTCCTGCATATATATATATATATATGTATAATATTGTTAAAGTTTCTATTATACAGTAGGTGAATGTGTGAAATCAATAAGCTGCAAGAATATGTATAAAGCTGGAGTTTAAAATTATGTATTGAAACTATATATGACACATTTTGTGAAGTAATGATAAGAGATACGTACACTAGGTTCATCATTAGTATCCTCAATACGGTACTCGTGCATGATCCAATCGGTCTTTTGGCCATGAGGAGCTCTTCCTTTGTAGAAGACAAGAGTCTTCCTCATGCCTATCTTCTTGTAACAGTTTCTTATGCATTTGTCACGTCCCGTCGCCTTCCAGAAACCTGAGTGAGTCGCACGGTTCGTCCTTGAACCCGTTGGATATTTCTTATCCTTGTGGCTGAAGAAATACCACTCGTTTTGCGGCGTTGATCCTATTTTGCATCTATCTGCAAAAAAGCATATGCTATAATTAGAAAAATGGATCATGATTCAGAATAAGAGTTTTATTAATCAAACTATACGTACCTTGTAAATCCCACGGCTCAATCTTGTTCAAATCAACCTCCCTTATGACTTCCATCTCGAACTTTTCATAAGAAATCTTCTTCTTCAAATAGTAATGAAGAAGTTCTTCGTCTGTTGGGTGAAACCGGAAACCTGGTGGTACACCTCCATTCAACGAACTCATTTTCCGGTTTACGATATGATCTTTCTGTGTTGGTTTGAATCCAAAGCTAAACAAAAGATATCTCAATTAATTACAATGATTAGCCTTTTTTCTCAAGCACTCTTCTTGTTCTTGGTTTATATATATAGAGATAGAGACTAGCTATAGAGATACACTCACACGTAATTGTCAACTATGTTATCGAAATTAATTAAACAATCAAATGTTATTAGTATGAAGTTGACGGCCGGTGACAACGCCGCCGGAGAAGCTCAAAAAGCTATCGTGAAAATCAAGATTCGCCGTTCGGAAGCATTTAAGCCGTATCCACGCGCCTTGTGTTACACCGCGTGTGTTACACTGATCTCCTTGGCTTTACGTTATGTTGATCCTAATAATTTGTTTATCCATTTATAAACAATTGATCCCGATAAATTTGGAAATTTAATTATCATTATAAATTATGTTATTAATAATCAGTCCGTGTTGAATTGAATTTGATTGCTCCGTAAGCAATGGTTTTTGCCAAAGAAAAAAAAAATATCCTTATTGGGAAGTCCAATTCTGATTATACGGTCATATTTGTGTTCATATGGGAAGTTTGTTGAACTAAGCTTCAAATGAAGCTTGAGAAACAAGTCAATCCTAGTTCTATCAAGTTAAAGATACCTAAAGTGTTTAGGATTAGAGATTAATGTTTAAGAGTTATCTAATATATTCTCTAAGTGAATTATGATTTGATTATTGGCTATATAAGGAGATGTCAAAGTTGTGACATGACTTATCAGAGATTGTGTGTTTAAGGTTTTGAGTTATTTTCCTTAAGCAAATAAGAGAGATATTCTTATTGATCTTTGAGTCTTTGAGTTCTATAGTTCTTGGTTACAATTCAATAATTGGTATCAGAGCTACAAAACTTTGATAAAGTTAAGAGCGAATCATGGGAGACATTGTTGCTGCAACAGCTGCAACAAGACCTAGAGAAAGAGGAGGATCGTCATCTATCACATGTCCCATGTTGAATGCAACAAATTACACTGTATGGGCCATGCGAATGAGGGTCACACTCAAGGTACACAAAGTTTGGGAGGCCATCGAAGCAGAAGCGAACCTACCTGACGGAGAAAAGAACAATATGGCCATGGCTTTATTGTTCCAATCAATACCCGAGACACTTGTGCTACAAGTCGGAGAATTCGAAACAGCAAAGCAGGTGTGGGAAGCGATCAAAGCAAGATACGTAGGTGCTGAAAGAGTCAAAGAGGCACGGTTGCAAACCCTAATGGCAGAATTTGATCGACTCAAGATGAAGGAATCAGATAAGATCGACGACTTTGCAGGAAAGCTGTCTGAAGTGTCATCAAAGTCAGCCGCTTTAGGAACAACCATTGAAGAGTCTAAACTCGTCAAAAAGTTTCTCAAGAGCCTCCCACGGAAGAAGTACATACACATAGTAGCCTCACTGGAACAAGTTTTGGATCTAAACAAAACAAGTTTCAAAGACATCATAGGACGACTAAAAGCTTATGAAGAGCGAATCTCTGAGGATGAGGAGGTTCAAGAAGACTCCAGCAAATTGATGTATCTGAATGAGGAAACTCAGAGTAACCATTCAAACCGCGACTCAAACAATGAATACAAAGGCAGAGGTCGAGGAGGACGCTATAGGGGAAGAGGTCGCGGAAGGTCTAATGGAGGAAGAGACACTTCCAAAGTCATGTGTTATCGTTGTGACAAGATGTCTCACTATGCCAGCGTATGCCCAGACAGGTTACTTAAGCTGCAGGAAGCTCAAGAGGATGATGAGGATGAAACACAAACAGCGGATGATCTCATGATGCATGAGGTCGTTTTTCTGAATGAGAAAAACTGCATACCGAGCAAGTATGAGAGGACTGCAAACGAAGTGAATGTGTGGTATCTGGATAATGGCGCTAGCAATCACATGACAGGGGATAGAAGATACTTCAAAAGAATTGATGAGTCTGTTACTGGAAAAGTCAGGTTTGGCGATGACTCACGCATTGATATAAAAGAGAAAGGATCAATCTCTTTTATTGACATGAATGGGAAATCACAAATGATGTATGATGTTTACTACATCCCGGATTTAAAGAGTAACATCATTAGCTTGGGGCAAGCTACAGAATCAGGGTGTGATATCAGGATGAGAGGAGGACATTTAACGATGCACGACTCGGAAGGAAAGCTGCTTGTTAAAGCAGTAAGAGCAAAGAATCGACTCTATAAAGTGCATATGGCGTTGAAGAACTTGGCGCGTCTATATCTCACTGATACAAGTGAATCGGATGTATGGCATGCCAGGATGGGACACATAAGCCAAGAGACAATGAAGTCGATGATCCAAAGGGATTTAGTCTTGGGAATCCCAAAAATCACATTCGAAAAAGGAGTCTGCAGCTCTTGCTTACTCGGGAAGCAAACAAGACAAGTGTTCCCTCAAGCCTCCTCATATCGAGCAGACAAGATACTCGAACTCATTCACGGAGACCTTTGCGGTCCAATAACACCGAGTACAATCGCAGGAAACAAATACATCTTTGTACTCATCGATGACTACTTGCGATATATGTGGACGATACTATTGAAAGAAAAGAGTGATGCTTTCAATAAATTTAAGACATTCAAGAGATTGGTTGAACAGGATGCAGGAGTAAGCATTAAAACCTTCAGAACAGATAGAGGAGGAGAGTTTGTATCTCAAGATTTTAATGCTTTCTGCGATGAATCAGGCATCAAGCGACATCTCACAGCGCTGTATACTCCACAGCAGAACGGAGTTGTTGAAAGAAGGAACAGAACACTAATGGAGATGTCGCGAAGTATCTTGAAACATATGCAAGTTCCGAACTACTTGTTGGGAGAAGAAATAAGACATTCTACTTATCTGCTAAACAGAGTTGCGACAAGGTCACTTAAGGAGATGACTCCGTACGAAGCCTTCAAGAATAAGAAGCCCAGGATCAATCATCTTCGAGTCTTTGGTTGTATTGGTTTTGCAAAAACAGATAAACCGCACCTAAAGAAGCTAGATGACAGATCACGGATGTTGGTTCATCTCGGAATAGAACCAGGGTCGAAGGCTTACCGTTTGTTTGATCCATTGTCACGAAAAATAGTAGTAAGCAGAGATGTCATATTCGACGAGAAAAGGGGTTGGAACTGGAGTCGTAATAGCAGCACTCTGGTCGAAGATTTTACGGTTACCCTTGGCGAGTTCGGAAATCGTGGAATACTAGAGGAGGTAGTAAGAGATATCGGAGCAAAACAAACCGACATGGGTAAATCTGGGGACGAGGATGAAGCGTATAATGATGGTGATCTCGCGGCATCACAAGAACATGAGCACGCTGACACTCAAACTGACTCTGTTCAAAGAAACCCAGAAAAACAGAGCTTTGGAAAACAGAGTAGTGTGAGTAACCCAGAAAAACAGAGTGTAAGAAAACAGAGCATGGCGACAGCTCCAGCTCTCCGTCGCACAGAGAGAGAAAGTAATTTGCCAACCTATTTGCAGGATTATGTGCTACTTAACGAAGAAGAAGAAGACATGATGCTACTCGCAGAGGAAGAAGGCGAGATGCTGTTACTATGTTTAAACGATGAACCGAGAAATTTCCATGAAGCTAGTAAATCACGAGCTTGGACACTAGCATGCGAAGATGAGATCCACTCTATCGAAAAGAACCACACATGGAATCTGGTGGATCTGCCAAGTGGTGCAAAAGCTATCGGACTGAAGTGGGTATTCAAGCTGAAAGGGAATTCAGATGGTAGCATAAACAAGCACAAGGCTCGACTAGTTGCAAAGGGATACGTACAACAACACGGAGTTGATTTCGAGGAGGTCTTTGCGCCAGTAGCACGGATAGAAACTATACGACTTCTGATCAATCTCGCGGCTTCTAATGGTTGGGAAATACATCATCTCGATGTAAAAACTGCGTTCCTTCATGGCGAGCTCAAAGAAACGGTTTATGTTTTACAACCAGAGGGTTTCGAAGTGAAGGGACAAGAGAGTAAAGTTTACAAACTTAACAAGGCCTTGTACGGACTACGACAAGCGCCTAGAGCATGGAATAACAAGCTGAATCAGATTCTTTTGGATCTGAGTTTAAGAAATGTTCGAAAGAGCCCTCGGTGTATCGAAAGGAAGAAAAGGGAAATCTTCTTGTTATAGCTGTCTATGTCGATGATTTGTTTGTGACAGGGACAAGTGAAAATATCATTAACAGGTTCAAAGAAGAGATGGCGTCAAAGTTTGAGATGAGCAATCTTGGAAGATTGACATACTATCTTGGAATCGAAGTTTGTCAAAACATAGGCGGAATGGTGCTAAATCAGAGACGATATGCTGAGAAGATTTTGGAAGAAGCTGGAATGAAAGAATGCAATCCAGTTCATGTACCAATGGAAAGCGGGTTGAAACTCGCCAAATCAGAAGGGGAAAAGGAGATCGATGCCACTTGGTTCAGGAAAAACGTGGGATGCCTTCGCTATCTTCTTCATACAAGACCCGATTTGGCTTATAGTGTTGGGGTACTGAGTAGATACATGAAAAGTCCAAGAGAGTCACATGGCACTGCTATGAAACAGTGCTTAAGATATCTTCGAGGCACCACGACACTTGGTCTAACAATCGAGCGGTCCAACCTGAAGATTCCGAAGATCATTGGCTATAGTGATAGTAGCCATAATGTCGACCCAGATGACGGAAAGAGCACGACTGGTCATATCTTTTACCTTGGAGAAAGCCCGATTACCTGGTGTTCACAGAAGCAAGAAACCGTGGCCTTATCCTCATGTGAAGCTGAATTTATGGCAGGTACAGAAGCAGCAAGACAAGCAATCTGGCTTCAGGATCTACTTAGTGAAGTTACTGGAGTGCCTTGTGAAAGAGTGGTTATTCGTATTGATAACAAATCAGCAATTGCTCTCACTAAAAACCCAGTGTTTCATGGCAGAAGTAAACACATTCACACACGTTACCACTTCATACGTGAGTGTGTAGAGAATGGGCAAATCGAAGTTGAGCACATTCCTGGTAATCAACAAAAGGCGGATATACTAACGAAGGCACTGGGCAGGATCAAATTTAAGGAGATGAGAGATCTCATTGGCATTCAAGATCTGAAGAAAATGGATTCCAAGCTTAAGGGGGAGATTGTTGAACTAAGCTTAAAATGAAGCTTGAGAAACAAGTCAATCCTAGTTCTATCAAGCTAAGGATACCTAAAGTGTTTAGGATTAGAGATTAATATTTAAGACTTATCTAATACATTCTCTAAGTGAATTAGAATTTGATTATTGGCTATATAAGGAGATGTCAAAGTTGTGACATAACTTATCAGAGATTGTGTGTTTAAGGTTTTGAGTTATTTTCCTTAAGCAAATAAGAGAGATATTCTTATTGATCTTTGAGTCTTTGAGTTCTATAGTTCTTGGTTACAATTCAATAAAGTTTGGTTAGTAATTACTATATACCTAATTTAATGACTATTATTATTCGATATATTTGTCTTTTCTTATAACATGCTCGCATGGAGGTCGATATTAATGCAATGGGCAAATGGCAAAGGGGCCAGTTGTACCTTACGATAACTTTCAAGGATTCTAACTGTTTAATTCATTGATTCATTGACTAAAAGGCTAAAGCAACCAATATATAAATGGATTTATGAATTCAATGTAAAAAAAAAGGATTTGAAATTTGAGATAATGTACGTAGCAAGAGAAGTAGAGAACGAGAAGGTCAATCCCGTGCATGCATCGCACGTGGGAGACTTGGTGTGATGGTATATGTACGTTGACTTACGAGTTTACGACTATTGTACATTCTGATCAATAACGTTCGTGAGTATGGTAAATTTTGAGATTTGAGCGTAATTAGGTAAAAGTATAATGATTGAATATGTTTATAACAAAGAATCGACAAACGCTTCAAATGGTGGTTTTGAGTTTTGGTGTTACACTTCACGTAGAGTACAAGTAGATAAATGAGAACTCCGAATACAACCACCAGAAACATGAGTAAGATTATCAATCGGAGGAACATATATACTTCAGCTACATCGAAATTGCATAAGAACAGACGAGAGGCACCGAGATAAATTATAAATATATACACAAAGTATATTCTCCATTTACATTCGCATCTCTAGTGCTCTCATTAAGACATGAAACTCGGTAAGATGATCGACGTCACCTTTTTTACTACAAGACCCATACCCTGTCCTTACGAAAAAAAAACATAAATCTCATATTAATATGTAATAACTTTATGTTATATGTTTCAACTATTGTGTATTAACCTAACAAACAAATAAAAGTTTGGGAACAAATACAAATATGAATTAAGATATTGAAGAAAATAACACCTTATCTTTCTTAATCCATCTTTTGCCAAGAGATTGAACAAGGATTGGGAACAAATCCTTGTTAGGAACAAGGTTGGGATCAAACTTAACTAGCTGTAGCTCTAGAGCTAACTCAACTTGGTGGTTTTCCACAGCGAGATGCAAAGGACTAAACCCATCCGAGTTCAATTTATTGGCAAAAGATGGCTTAAGAATCATCAGCTCCATCGCCAAGTCTATCTTCCCGGTAGACGAAGCTTCACGAAGAGGAGTGTGGGTGAATGGTAAAACGTCCGTGTTTTGAAGAATACACGGATCCTTTTGAATAATAAGAGAATATAAAGCATCAACGCTACCTGACTGAGTAACCCAAATCAATCTTGGATCCATACTCACATAGAAAGAAAACTAACTCTAATTAAGGACCTGTTCAAGAAGAAAGTACTGATACTCGAAGCATTGTAGTTCATCAAATTTATAGGAAACTACGTTATGTTTACATAATTTATCGAGTATTGATGAGTCTATTGACTAAACTGTTTCGTAGAAAGAAAAAAACACAAAGTTAGGTGAGACTCCGTAACGCTAGGCTACACAACATAATTGACTTTAGTGAGAAGAGCTGTAAATACAACTGTGTTATTTCTTTATCTTCTAATATCAAAACGTTAATATTCTTTTTTTTGAATTATATGTTAAATTAATTAAAAGAAAATCTGTATTACAATCAAGTGCTTCTGTTTGCGTTTATAACAAAAGAATTAAAGAATTGTAGAATAATGACTTTAACTTTGAGAAGCAAACCAAATTTGAAGTCCCTCTTCATAGCGTCGGTCCCAGGTGCGAATAGAAGAAAGCCGGTTACGAACTTACTTATCGATGATTTGAATTAGTTTGCGAGGAAGAATCGGAGGATCTCCATGTCTTCTTGCGTTTCGTTCTCTCCATATTGTGTGGAGTGATGCTTGGAAAACATAGCGCACAAAAAACCTCTGAATACTTTGGATCTGCTGTTCATTTATGCATTTGACTATGGAAGTCCAATCCGTGGTGTATAAGTGACCAAGAAGCTTTCTAGTCAAACTAGCCCAGATCTCCGAGGAATACCTGCACATAAAGAACAAGTGGTCCCTGGGAGCAGAGCATAGTGTACACGTTGGGTTTACCACTCCAGCCCATGTACTCATACGGTCTCCAGTAGAGAACCTATTGATGCGCTCCAGAACCTCAACAGGGCCAATCTTCTTTGACTTGAGTTTGTTGTACTCGCGTAAAGGGAGACGGTCCTTTGTAAGTATGACCCAAACGAGATCTCTAGGGTTAAACAAGACCTCCCGCCGTTTCACATCAGCGGCAGCCTTATACTTGGCGGTGGTCTCCTCCAAATGTGTGTGAGCCTGTATATGAATCTCCTGTAAATCAGAGACAAAGTCAATAGCCCCACCATGATGTCGCGTCTTGTCCGGTGAAGTCGCCAAGTCTAACGGACAACGGGGAACGAGGCCGTATACAACGCGAAAAGGACAGAAACCCAAGGTGCGGTTGAATGCATGATTGTGAGCAAACTCAGCCCTACACAACTGAGAATCCCAAGACTTTGTGTTGTCGCCAACTAGACAGCGAAGTAAATTGCCGAGTGATCTATTCGTTACTTCCGTTTGACCATCTGTCTGAGGATGATAAGCGGTGCTCATGTTGAGGCTATTACCTAACATCTTCTACAAGGAGCGCCAGAAATGGCTCAAAAAACGAGTATCAAGATCTGATACAGTCGAAGAAGATAGACCGTGTAAACGATAAATCTCCTGAAAGAACAAAACAGCGACACTGATCGCATCTGAAGTCTTCTTGCAAGGAATAAAGTGCGCCATTTTTGAGAAATGATCAACCACCACAAAATAGAGTCATTACCTCGTTGAGTACGAGGTAACCCCAAAACGAAATCCATACTCAAGTCTGTCCATGGTTGCGTTGGGATTGGTAAAGGGAGATATAAGCCGGCGTTGGACGCACACCCCTTTGCTTGTTGACAAATACGACAACGCTCGACAAATCTCTCAATATCACGGCGCAAGGAAGGCCAGAAGTAGGAGGTCATGACGAGCTGAAGGGTGCGATCTCTGCCCACATGCCCCTCATTGTAGAGTTTGCTAATGATCTGTAGCCGTAAAATACATGGAGGAACACAGATACGCATGCCGCGAAAGAGAAACCCATCTTGAATAGTATAATCCGTGCAGGTACCACTCAAAGCCTCCATAAAAATACGAGCGAAGAACGGGTCGGAAGCATATAAGTCAGAAAACAACCCAAACCCGGCAATAGACGTATGCATGGTAGTAAGCAAGCTATGTCTTCGGCTCAAGGCATCGGCAACACGGTTTGTTTTTCCAGACTGATGTCGAATGGAAAAGGTAAACTGCTGTAAGTAAGAGATCCAAGCAGCATGACGAGAAGATACCTTAGCTTGGCTGTCCAGATGACGTAAAGCGTCATAGTTCGTAAAGAGAACAAAGTCACGATGAACGAGATAATACCGCCAATGTTTGATGGCCTGAACAATCCCGTAGAACTCGACATCGTACATACCGTAACGACCACGTGCTCCAGCCAGCTTTTCACTATAGTATGCGACAGGACGGTTTTGCTGACTCAAGACGGAGCCAATACCCAACTTCGAAGCATCACAGTGCAATTCAAATGTCAAGGAAAAGTCTGGGAGGACGAGAATCGGAGCTGTCGTAAGCTTCTCTTTGATCAATTCAAATGCCTTCGTAGCTGCCGGTGTCCACACGAACTTGCCTTCCTTCATACAGCTCGTGATGGGTGCCATTATAGTACTAAAGTGGCTCACAAAGCGGCAGTAAAATGAAGCTAAACCATGGAAGCTGCGAACCTCAGAAACTGTTGTAGGGATAAGCCATGACTTTACTGCTGCAATCTTTGATTTATCCACAGAGAGGCCTTGAGAGGAGACAACGTACCCCAGAAAAAGGACTTCTGACACGCCGAACTCACACTTGTGTTTCACGGCAAAGAGTTTTTCTTGGCGAAGCACTAGTAAAACTTGGCGAATGTGAGCAACGTGATCCTCCATAGATGTACTGAAAATTAGTATATCATCGAAGTAGACCACAACAAATTTTCCGATGAAAGGTCGCAATGCTTGGTTCATGATTCGCATGAAAGTGTTCGGAGCGTTAGATAAACCGAAAGGCATAACAAGCCATTCAAAAAGGCCCTCGCGAGTTTTGAATGCCGTCTTCCACTCGTCTCCCAGGCGAATACGTATCTGATGGTAGCCACTTTTTAAATCGATCTTAGAGAAAACAGTTGCAGTGCCAATCTGATCTAGTAGGTCGGCCAGGCGTGGAATCGGAAAACGGTAGCGGACTGTAATTTAATTGATAGCACGACTGTCGACACACATACGCCAGGAACCATCCTTTTTAGGGATGAGGAGAGCGGGAACCGCGCAAGGGCTGAGGCTCTCACGAATATGGCCCTTTCGGAGCAGGTCTTCAACCTGGCGTCGAAGCTCCTCATGTTCGTGGGGACTCATCCGATAATGCGGTCTGTTCGGAAGGGAAGCGCCAGGAACTAAGTCAATATGGTGTTGTATATCACGTAACAGTGGTAAAGTGGTTGGTAACTCTGCAGGAAAAACATCATCAAACTCCCCAAGAACCGAAGACAATGCCGTGCTCGTGGACGTTGACAGAACCCGAGGTAAGGAGACAGGAACCAGGGCGAAGGCTATACCCACACGACGAAACTCAGATAGAAAAGATGCATAGAAGTAGAGCAGTGTTGACATACGGGAGGTAGAGTGCTCTTGTTGACGAGACGGGGACGGTGGAGCAGGGAGAGAAGTGTCGCGAGATGGTACCAACAGAATCTTATGAGTCTCCAAAATGAAACTGTAAGTGTTTTGAGCTCCATCGTGAATTATTTTGCGATCAAACTCCCATGGGCGACCCAACAGTAGATGGCTTATGTCCATCGGAGCAATATCGCAGTATGTACGATCTTGATAGAACTCGCAAATGGAGAAAGGAACAAGTGCTCGATGCGTAATACGAACACTAACTCCCTCTTGTAACCAACCAAGAGTATACAGCGCTGGGTGTACTTCTTGAGTAAGGCCCAATTTGTTAACAGCGTCGGCGGAGATCATGTTCCTACAGCTGCCCGAGTCAATAATGAAAGTGCAAAGACGGCCACGAATGGTGCAAGTGGAGCAAAAAATGTTAGTACGTAGCCACTGTTCATCTTGACGGCGAGGCGTAATACAAGAACATCGCACTACAAGCATATGACCTGTATCTCCTGGAGTATATTGATGATCTGTGTCAGGATTCTCCATATCGTCTTCATATGAATCATACGCAGCTTCTTTCTCACCATTTGTGTCGTCAACAACCAATCCACGGCGATGTTGATTAGGGCAAGCAGTCTGACGATGGCCCTGTTCACCGCATCCGAAATAACGAAGGGCATTCGGTCGCGTCGAACGTCGTAACGATTGTTCTGTGTTCGTAGATGGTGCACTACCAGACGTAACAGGGGGTTCACTCTCCTTAATCAAAATTGTCGTCGAACTCTGTTCTATTGATCGTGTACGGCACTGATTATTGCAGCTCGTCGAGCGCTGTTGTTGTTCAAAAGTTGCTGCACGGCGATGAGCTTCGCTGATAGAGGATGGGTTAAACTGTGCTAGGGCGGATTGTAGTTGTGGGCGTAATCCCCCGATGAAACGTGACACGAGCTGAATCGGACTATCATAGAGCTCATTACGTGTTAATAACAGAGAGAATTCTTCGGCATACTCATCAACACTGCGGTTCCCCTATTTTAAATTCTGCAGTCGATTATACATTGTGCGATCGTAGTTATGGGGCATGAATGTCTTTCGTATGTGTTTCTTGAGTTTCTCCCATGATTGGATTGGCGCCTTTCCCGTACGTGTGCGCGTTGACTTGAGTTGTTTCCACCAGGAAGCAGCATGACTGCAAAACCTCATTGCTACCAACGGAATTCGATGATCATCAAGCACTTGTTTAAAATCAAGGATCTCTTCGACTGATACCACCCAATCTAGGAGGTCTTCTCTGCAAAGGCCTCCATATATTCTGGAATATCAACACGAAAGCTATTCTCCCACTTGTTGTCTCGGTCATCACCATTATTGTGATGTTCACGACGAATCCTGCAGTGGTTTTCGTCTTCTTCATCCTCCGCGCCGGCGAAGGGGTTGTCTTCTACTCTTCGATTGTGGTCACGATTTTGAAGTCGATCCCCCAAACGAGTCACCAACATCTCACCCATCTCTTGAATGGAGTCGTGAATTGATGATTGTATGTTCTCCTGCATCGCTAGGAGTGTGGTAC